GCGGCGGCTCCAGCGGCGGCGGCTACTCTTCTCAGCAGTGCGTCCAAGCTCCATCACAGCAGAGCAGCGGAGGGGGATCATACGGAGGCGGCTCCAGCGGCGGCGGCTCCGGAGGCGGCTCCGGCGGTGGCAGTTGCTACCCCACCGGCGGGGGCGGCTCCAGCGGCGTCGGCTGCTTCCCCAGCGGCGGCGGCTCCAGCGGCGTCGGCTGCTTCCCCAGCGGCGGCGGCTCCAGCGGCGTCGTCTGTTTCCCCAGCGGCGGCGGCTCCGGCGGCGGCGGCTCCTCCGGCTGCGGCGGCGGCTCCAGCGGCGGGGGTGGCTCCGGGGGGAGTGGCGGAGGCTCCTCCGGGGGTGGCAAGGGAGTGCCCGTGGCCCACCAGACCCAGCAGAAGCAGGCACCTTGCTGGCCAACCAAGTAAACCATCCTGCCCGGCACCCAGAGGAATGAGCAAAAAGTTTGTTCTGGCTGCGGCCTATAGGTTTACAATTCTCATGATATTGCCTTAAGTTTCACCAAATGCCTTCAATTCTTCCTCAGCCTCTAAAACGAAGGGGTCTCCTTTCAGCTGCCCCTTAACCTCGATGGCAGTTCCAACTCCTGTGTCTTGTTCTCCGGAATATTTCACCCGACTGGGAAATGGCATCATCCCATCTACAGACCCCCTCTTCACCCTAGCTCTGTACCACCATCTTCCTATTTTGCCCTAAGCCAATAAACTTGCAATTCATGAGAACTTCTGTCTAAAGCAATCTTTCTATATCAAGTTCTTCTGTTCTTTTCTCCTTGGGGAGGGGGTGCAAGCAGAAATGGGGGTAAGGATGGAAATGGAAGTGAGGGTGTTCTAAATCTTCCAATTCACTTCACTTATTAGAAATCCGCTTGCAATTAAAAATGGGTAAGAAAGTTGCTTATGATCACATCTTTTCCTGGAAAAGAATAAATCTTTTGGTGGAAGAAGTTCCAGCCTTGAGAAAGAAGGGGAAAAAAAAGTCAGATATTCCCAGGTTAATGCCTCAAAGACAATCTCCTGATTAAGTCAGGAAGGAAGGGAGGGTGAGTGGTCCGGCCAAACCAGAAGAAGCGACCCCAGCAGAAATGCCCAAAGTCATCCAAGTTTTATTCACTAAGCTCATTCTTGATGTCCTTACATAGAGGAAAAAAAATCAGACTGGGAGATAAGGATTGGGGGGATCCTGTAAGGATTGAAGAGGGAAGGACTTCAAGTCTCCTGGTTCCCTGGAACTCTGGGGCTGCTAAACATTGTAAGGGATGAAAGAGGCTACCACATCTTAGGGCCTGCTCTCTCTGCCCTCCAGACTTAGAAAGTCTATAATCAGTTTTACTTAAGAGTGTGCAGATCTTGAAAATACTGATTTACACCATCCAAATTCAAATAAGTACCCAAATTTCAATAAGCATTTCTTGAGAACAGATTGTTAGCCTAACTTTGTTCTGGACTCTGTTGGGGGACCACAAAAAGCTTAGATGGAAAAGAAAAACACACATGAGAAAAAGTTAAAGAACAAGAATAGCTCACATTTCTATAGCATTTTAAAGTTTGCAAAGCATTTTCATCACAACAATCCTGGAAGATTGGTAGTGTGATATTGTTATCTCTGTTTTGCAGATGATACTCAGAACTGAACACCATGACTCCTGGGTGAAATGATCAGCAAAGAGTATTATGGGACCATTTCCACCCTTTTCCCCAATATGGCATAGAAAGGTGCCTTGTCCAGGATCACACTGATACACATTGAGTACCAAAGACGGGATTTGAACTAAGGTCCCCTGACTCCATGCACAGTGCTTATCTACTTCACTACAATAGATAACATAATAGTAGGCACTGAATGAATTAATGAACAATTTGAAAAAACAATTTGCCCTAGGTATAAGTTCAGAAGAAGACACAGATTCCCTAAGAACATGAAAAGCCAAGATGATGACAAAATACTAATAACTCACATTTACATAGGACTTTATAAAGTGTTTTACACACATTATCTTATTGGAGCCTTACAACAGCCCTGTAGAGTAGGTAATGAGAATGTTTTTTATTCTTGTTTTGAGAATAGGGAAACTATAGCTCAACAGAAGTGAGCCCAGGTCATAAATAAGTGGGTCAAATCTCCTACACTGATCGGCAGCGAGATTGGTCCTGGGAGTAGCCTCTATACTTCCAGCCTGACCAAGACAGCGAGACCTCACCTTTAAAAAAAAAAAGGTAATTATTCTCTTTGACTCAAACTTCTTTTCTTTTCTTCTTCTTTTATGTCTCACCTAAGTCTTCTCTTCCCCACGTTAAATTTTTCCCCAACCAATCCTCATATGACATAGCTTCAAATTCACTCACCATCCTACTTGCCCTCCTTTGGACATGCTCCAGTTTGTTCATGTACCTCCTAAAATAGGCTGCTCAAAACTGAACGTAATAATACAGAAGTAATAGAACCAGAAAAAACAATAATGGGACTATTTACGTCCTTTTTCTGGAATTACTCATCTATTCATATTACCAAATTCTTCTTAATCAATAATGATGATGAGGAAGAGGAGGAGGATGGAAATGATGGTGGTGGTGGTGGAGGTAGTGGTGGTGATAGTGTACATTTATACAGCACTTTGAACATTTGGTATTCCCAAGGCTCTTGGATTCATGTCCAAGACTGTCTCAATCAAGGTCTAAGAGGAAACAGTAGCCAAGATGGTGGTGATGGTGGTTTGACTTGCCTGGCACACATGCTACCTCCTGTCTCTCCCTCAGGTTCCCTTGCTGCCTCAGGTAGGCTGGCATGTAGGTTGCCCTGTGAAGGGCAGTTGGTTGGCAGAAGGCTGGCCCATTCTTTGCAGAAGTTGTTTCCCCAGATAATGACTATGAGGGCTGGTCTCGAAGCAGAGCCAGAAGTGGAGGAGGCAGTGTTACCATTCCCAAAGCTCTTCTGTTTATCTGTCTGTTGGTGATCAGCAGTTGTTTCTGATGGTGACCAGGAAAGTGGGTCCCCTATCCAAAAAGATTTCTCCCCATGATAAGAATACTCAAAGTTATCTATTTCTTTACTGGAGTAGACATCCATTCTCTTTCTTCTATCCTCCCAAGCCCACTATTCTCATTAGGATCAACTCTTAGTCACATTACCAACCCACTCTAACCAATAACAACAACAATATAGAACTTGAAAGTTTACAAAGCACTTTACAAATAAACAATCCTAGGAGGTAGCTGCTACTATTATCCCAAATTTACAGGTGAGTAAACTGAGGCAGTGAGAGGTTAAGTGGCTTGTCCAGGTTAACACAGCTGGTAAATATCTGAGACTGAATTTGAACTCAAGTCCTCTAGAAGACTCCAAACCCAGTGTTCTATAGTCCAGTGCTACCTAGCTAACCATTAGGAAAAACTGGCCAGACACTAACTTAATCAATGCTTGACCAGATCATGGTAATGATAGACAATGATTGTACCATGGCCACAATCTGTAGATTAACTCTTAACCTTGAGGTGTTATGCCAACTCGTATTGTTGGTTATGAGAGAACACGAATAACTCCTTCCCTCTGCCCTTTTTATTTTAGACAAGACCCTAAACAAGGAATCCACTAACATATCCTTTACCTTGTGTCAACTTAAAGGCAATTCTAAATTGTTTATCACTTCATTCACAATTAATACGAGTAGAGAACCTGATTCTCATCTATAAAAAGGGGAAGAGACTGTCCATCTCTGTTCTCTCTCTTTCCCTTCCTACCAACAACATATAGTTGCTCAGTAGGTAAAGTATAAAAATGAAAGCTGTGGTCACAGCATAGGGCACCATCCTTATCTATTGTTATTGTGATCTCACTAAACATAGTTGACTGATCACTAGTGATAATCGGACCTTCCTCTAAAAACCTCTTAAGATGGGAAATTCTCCTGTCAGCCTTCTTCTTTTGAATGGCTTTGATGTTTGGGTGCTTTTTGTATTGAGATGAAATGTGCTTTTCAGTAAGTTTTTCTTACATGTTCCACCTACTCTTCTTGATGGCTGTGCTCTGCTGTGGTCAAATAACATCTGAAACATTGATTCTAGTTCTGAGAACCAGGTTTTAGGAAGGGCATTGACAAATACATATTTTCAGAGGAAGGCAATTAGGATAGTGAGGGGACTTGAAACCAGGTTATATGAAGAATGATTAAAATAATTCAGAAGACTTCAGGAGGGTTATGATAGTTTTCTTCAAATATTTGGTGACTGGGCATGTGAGAGGGATTATATTTGTTCTGGGTAAATACCAGAGACAAAACTAGGAGAAACAGAATTGCCTGATCTAGGCATCCTGTCTCCATTTCAATCTTGTGACCCTTCTTCCTGGGTCACCATTAACCATCACCTTACAGGCTTGTGTTTGCAAGTCAAGTAAGTTGGAGAAGATCCAGATGGGTAGACTAGGCTTTCCAAAACTGGGAATGCCTTAGAAGAAAGATTAGTACATTATTAGGCTCAAGTAGGATTTTCTATTTTAAAAAAATTAATTGTTAAAATGAGACACAACAATCAGTTAATCTCTAGTTAGTAATTATGAACAAAGTTGTACACAAATGAGAATAGCCTTTGAAATAATAAATGTAGGGGAAGCTAGCTTGCACAGTGCATAGAGCACTGGTCCTGAAGTCAGAAGGACCTGAGTTCAAATCCAGCCTCAGACCAAACACTTGACACTTACTAGCTATGTGACCCTGGGCAAGTCACTTAACCCCAATTGCCTAAAAAAAATAATAATAATAAATGTAGAGGACATGTTTATGGACATTACTTCCTACAATACTTAGGAGATGAGATTGGGAGAGATTCTCTGGGCTACATTTCCCAAAAGGCTATGTGTCAGACCACAGTATGGTGACATTATCCAGCATACATCTGGTCATAGCATTGTGAATTCTGACATCCCATCTAGAACATGATAACTAAAAAGGCTATGCAAGATGCTTCAGTATTTGCCTAGGCTCAAGGAGTCAGTGCTCTTTGGCCTACCAAAATGAGATTAAAAGAGGAACTAATTAAGCCAACAGGTTTCAGATTCTGTCTCAACCATGATACCACTGACTGTATCCCTCTTCTCCTGTGTTGTTTGTGTGTGTTTGACAAATTTGTGTGTGAATGCAGGTAATATTTACTATCTGATTTAATTCATTGTTATTTCTCTTACTGTTCTATTTTAATTAAATGTCCTATGCTTTTGATTTTATGTGTCACTTAGTATGGCTCATCATAGAGATATATTGATGAGAGCTGGAAGGATTATTTTGAAGAGACAATGACCTAAATGGTATTTCTGCATAATGAGGAATCCCTCTTCCCATGAAAACCTTTCCCATTTTTTCAGATTGCTAGCTGCCCCAGCTAAGTACAGGTGTAGCTAAGCTGAGGGCGAGCACGACCTAGGTAGAAATGTATGCATCTCCTCACATATCTTCAGTCATCACCAGTGAGGTCAGTTTTGCTGTTTGTGCCCTGCTCTGCTTTAAGGAGAAAGTTTGACTCTTTCCCTCATAATTCTTGGGGTTAAAAATGACTTGGGCTCATCCACACCACCTCCTTATGCTTGAAGTCCCCCGGATATTGAATTGCATTGCAAAATTGCTGATGATTCCCGCTTTTGCTTCTCATCCCCAGTGATATGCTTTCACTATCTGCCCTATTCTCTTCCGCTACATGAAATAGTGTCTTTCTCCTGCATGGTCCTGACTTTC